TACTTAAATAAATGGTATTCTATTATTGTTTAGCAGCGCTTTTAATCGCAATTAATTAATAATTTTTTTAATTGCTTGACAGCCCTAATTAATACTGATCGTTACCAAGGACCCGCCTCTTGAGCTAGTAAGAGAATTTCTGAATGTACTGTCTCAGGACAATCAAATTGTTTGTGGACTATTTACTGATTTTTCTCAGCAAACAATAGAAGTTAATGCACCGGGATGGCATCCCTGTTCTGTGCATTGCCTTCTGAGTGCCGAGACTGACAGAACTCAGATTGCTTTAGTCCCTGGAGTCCAGCCACTTTCTGTTCAGACACTTTTCATCCAAGCCTGAAAAGTTCCCTGAGACAGGAGAGGCAGCAGGGAAGGTCAGTAAGTTAATGCTCCATTCTGCTTGACCACTGTGCGTTCAAGGTTCGCTGCTGGGAAGACACCGGATGCTTGGAACCTGCTTTCGAGAGGTAGAACAGAATTCTGTCTGTGCTGTATGATGATCATCACATTGGAGATTTTTAAGAGCAGGTGAGAATCACCTATCAGGAACGGGTCTAGGTAATACTTAGTCCTGCCCTCCTGAGTGCAGGGGACTGGACTAGATGACCTCTCGAGGTCCCTTCCAGTCCTACAATTCTATGAACAGAAAAAATGGATCTACAGTGAATCTTTAACGTATGGATGGGCAGAGCTTTTGGGGACAGCATAGAATGCAGCTCCTGGCATCCATATGTTAGGACCCACCATTTCTCCCACCTCTGCCCCGAACGGATTAACAGAGAGGGCCATTTTCTCTTTCAAATGGCATTAACTAGCCCCCAAGGAGAGAGTTCAACACCCGCTGAAGAATGCTGCTCTTCCAGCTGAGGCCTAGGGACTACACTCTTTCAGAACCATTTTCCTGAGCTGAAGACAGCTTGGTCTTTAGCTGCACTCTGAGCCCTGGAGAGGACACCTCCCCCAGGGTTGGCAGGGAACCATGGGGGAATTTTGCCTTGCTACGGACTGTGCTGTACCAGTTCTGTGCATAAACAGAGGGTTTCAATCTCCAGGTCTGTCAATCTGGCATTAGAATAGCTCAACCCACCATTCCTTACTGGTGGAGTGTCTCTGGCACCTTCATGCCAGCGCCCCAGCCACTCCAGTTTATAGTGGGCCTCACAGAAGAAGGTAACTTATAAAGGACACTTCCTTCTGGTGAGCAATCAGTTAATGCACCCAAAGTACCCTAGGCAGCCCCTTATTTAGTGATTAAAATCAGTATCCTCTTACCAGAGTGCTCTGTGGACAGACTGCTGTGTCTGCTCGGGGATTTGGTTACCTCGGGAACGTTGATGGTTATGCCAAAGTTGTTAGCCAGGCTACCACTGGCTGAGGAGGTGGTGCTGTCGGAGCCCAGCGAGGTGTTGGACTGGGTCAGGGAGGACTTGCGAAGCTTGTTCTTGAAGAAACCGCCCTTGCCTTTGGATTTCTTGCGCCCTAGCTCGTAGTCCTCCTCCATGTCGAGGGCCCCTGTGCTGCTGGGGATGATAGCAGAGGCAGATTCCAAATCGTATTTCTTCTTCCCCTTCATTTTGTCCTTCAGCTTGCCGAAGGGCGACCGGGGCTTGTCCTTCATGGAAAGGTCGAACATGCTGGCCGTCAGGTTGTTGCGGGTAAACTGGATGGTGACCTGGATCTCTCCTCGCTCCTTCTCCTTTTTCCCAGCCTTGGAATGTAGCTTGTGCCACCTGGAGTTTGAGAGAAGAGGGGAGAAGAGCCTGTTATTTCCAAGAACAATGACTGAGCCAGAAACTGCTCAGAGGGAAAGGCCTAAGGCAAGACAGAGAAGGAAAATAGAACCGACCAGGTCTACGCGGCTGCTCGGGGAATTAGCTGACATACTGCACTGGGGAGAGCACCTAGTCACTAAGACAATGCAGACAGGCTGCTCTTCAAACTATTCGATTTGCTGCTTCTTGAGTTCCCACTCAGCTGTGACCGCTTCTCACAGGGAGCCCTGGTGCATGGAGACTTAGCTGCCATCGGTTTTGTTACATCCTTCAGAGCAGCCACTGGGGGTTCTCCTTGGAGCGGGTGTGGTCCAAGCTCACTCCTATGACACAACCTGCACTTCCTTGGACACAGGGCGCTGTGGAACTTGGGGCACTCGACAAGCTAGTGAATTAACTCTCTCCACCCTCCTCACAAGGTGAGGCAAGTTTTATGATCCCCATTCCAAAAATGGAGACGCAGAGACCCAGAGAGGAAAAGTGACTTCCCCAAGGTCACACGGCAACTCGCTGGCAGAGATGAGAACAGAACACAGATCTCCTGACCCCCCGCCCAGGCCTGGGCCTTCTCTCCACAAAGGACTGACGTCCCATCCCACAGCCAGAGGGTGGATCCCCATTGAAACAGCTTAGGTGGTCTGGTGAGAGGAAGCCAAGCTCTCTGGACAACTGGTTTGTGGTATCTCCTTCCACCCATGCTCTGGCTCCCTCCTCCTGCTTTAGGTATCTCCCCCACACTTCCCAGCTGCTGCTACCCTACCCAGTATCGACTTCTCCACCACTCCAGGCTAATAAAGTGAAAGGCCTAATTTTTAAGGACCATGTTTGACTGCAAAGTGCCTAGGATTCTCTTCAGGCCTACGTGCTGTATGAACATAGGGTGCTGTTAGCCTACGCCTGCTTTGCTCGCTGTCTGGCTAGCTAAGTGTTCTAATGGACCACCGACATTATGCATGAAGGTCAGAAGTTCCTTGTTGATATGGAGATCTCCGAGGCCCAGGCTCCCAGACAGGACACATGACAGCTCTGATCTGATAAGGGCAGCAGGCCAGAGCCCAGTAGGTACAAGCGCAGCAAGGACTTCCTCCAGACGCTAATGGAGGCTAACTGTGGACATGGGGCTCCACATAGGATGTTGTGGGATTCCACCTAAGACTCAGTTATGCTACATAAGGCTGAGAGAGAAGAAACTCGCTGGCAGGCCTCCCACCTCAACCAGGGCTTGGTCACCACCAGGGACAAAGATGCTGCAAACAGAACGTAACAAGCTTTCTGACGATGTCTGAGCCAGCCCAGAATCCGGCTCTCCCCGCTATGGGACAGCGTGTCCCCCAGGGCTCGTGTGGGGTCAGTGGGTTGATCAGATTCATATACGCACACAACTCAGGGCATGAAGGTGCCATTTGTAAACAGACCTATTACCGACGCATACCATATTTTAAGGCATATTCCTACATTCAGTTCTCACCCTATTTCCACTAAGTAACTTGTTCAGATTAAGACAAATTACCCTCCATAGTAATACAACATGTGCATTCCAGAGGAAGGCCCACGTTTTAAAAATGATTAGTCTATTAATATAGAATAGAATCATAGAATATCAGAGACCTTAGGAGGTCATCTAGTCCAATCCCCTGCTCAAAGCAGGACCAATTCCCAACTAAATCATCCCAGCCAGGGCTTTGTCAAGCCTAACTTTAAAAACCTCTAAGGAAGGAGATTCCACCACCTCCCTAGGTAACCCATTCCAGGGCTTCACCACCCTCCTAGTGAAACAGCGTTTCCTAATATCGAACCTAGACCTCCCGCACTGCAACTTGAGACCATTCCTCCTTGTTCTGTCATCTGCCACCACTGAGAACAGCTGAGCTCCATCCTCTTTGGAACCCCCCTTCAGGTAGTTGAAGGCTGCTATCAAATCCCCCCTCACTCTTCTGCAGACTAAATAACCCCAGTTCCCTCAGCCTCTCCTCATACGTCATGTGTTCCAGCCCCCTGATCATTTTTGTTGCCCTCCGCTGGACTCTCTCCAATTTTCCACATCCTTTCTGTAGTGGGAGGACCAAAACTGGACACAATACTCCAGGTGTGGCCTCACTAGTGCCGAATAGAGGGGAATAATCACTTCCCTCGATCTGCTGGCAATGCTCCTACTAATACAGCCCAGTTTGCCATTGGCCTTCTTGGCAACAAGGGCACACTGCTGACTCATATCCAGCTTCTCGTTCACTGTAATCTCCAGGTCCTTTTCTGCAGAACTGCTGCTTAGCGAGTCAGTCCCCAGCCTGTAGCAGTGCATGGGATTCTTCTGTCCTAAGTGCAGGACTCTGCACTTGTCCTTGTTGAACCTCATCAGGTTTCTTTTGGCCCAATCCTCCAATTTGTCTAGGTCACTCTGGACCCTATCCCTACCCTCCAGCATATCTACCTCTCCCCACAGCTTAGTGTCATCTGCGAACTTGCTGAGAGTGCAATTCATCCCATCGTCCCATCAAACAGACACAAGGTGGATGAGGTAATATCTTCTATTGGACCAACTTCTATTGGTGAGAGAGAACAGAAAATAAAAGATATTACCTCACCCAGCTTGTGTCTCTAATATCCTGGGACCAACATGGTTACAACTACAATGCAGAGTCAATTAATATCTTCTAAAAGAAGATTGTGGTGAAAAGGAGAAGAGCTTGGAAATTCAAAATTAAGGCTCGACTTGAAGAGCAGATGCCCCCCCTGCCCAAACTGTAACTGACTAGCTCTGCCAACCCGCCTGCTCTGTGCCTGAATTTGATTTTGCCATAAGGAGTGTCTATTAGAAAGGAAGGGGGTAGAAGAGCACGAGAGAAGAAAACCATTGCGGGCTGGGAGAGGCAGGATAGCTGAGTGGTCCAAGCACATATCTGGAAGCCAAGAGTTTCTTTATTCCAATCCTGGCTCCACGGCACACACCCCGCCCCCTTGGGAGAGGACAAGGGAACAAACAGGTGACAGATGTGAAGTGCACGTACCACACTACTGGACGGTGCTTGGATACTACATACAAGGGGGATGTTATTCCCAGTCTCCTGGGGAAATTCTCTTGCGGTATCTATTAGGCTGCAAGTTCCTTGGGGCAGAGACCGGCCTGTGTGTGTTTGCACAGCATCTAGTTCAACAGAACTATTGCCACTGCAGAGCAACAATAACGGACCGCTACTGCCCCAGCCATGGTCTTCATTTCCCATCCTGAACTGCAGCGGAGGGTTTCTGGGCGGCGTCACAGATGGCTGAATTTCAACAGTATTTGAAATGATTCCTATGCAGTTTGTAAACTTTCTGGGATCCCTGGGAAAGATGAAAGATGCCATGGCGCCCTTAAGGCGACTACCCCAATATCGCCTTCAAATCCCTCCCCAATACCCCACGTCAGCCATGGCGCCTGCAAGACGTCAGCCAGCCTGCCAAGGACAGTGGCGTAATGGGAGAAGCTGGTGTTTCTAGGGTTAAACCTTCAGAACTCAGAGCCATCGGGCTGCCAGCCTGCTCGTATTACCCTCCCCCTCCCTGCTGGTCCTCCGTCGTATCTGGTTTCAAAAATCAGATGAGAATGTCTTTTGGGCAGGCCCTTGTCTTTGTGTGTCTGTACAACGCCCAGCACCATGCGGCCATGACCCTAACCGGGGCATCTGAGTGCTACCATAATACAAAGTAATTAATAGAAACTTATAGGGTGACCAGATGTCCCGATTTATAGGGATAGTCCTGATTTTTGGGTCTGTCTCTTATATAGGCTCCTATTATCCTCCACCCCCTGTCCTGATTTTTCACACTTGCTGTCTGGTCACCCTAGAAACTTGGCATCTCTGTCGAGTGACTGGTTAGTTGCGGAGCCCACATGGAACATTTCCCAGGTCACAAAGCCAACACGGCACTGTCTGCACTGGGACAGCCGCAGAACACCTGGCCCCGCAGGGCTGCCCTTTCACACCTGGGAGAGGGGGGACGCTCCTTCAGTCCAGCCCACCTTTGGCCTGGACGCCCTGAGCACTGCCAACTCTCGCTGATTTCAATGGAAGCAGCTCAGAACCAGGCCTCAGCATCTGCCCTCAGCATCCAAACAAGGATACCTACAGACTTGTGGTCGGTGCCTTACTGGATGGAGGCCGCCAAGAACAACAGCTCTGCAATGCTGCGTAGGAAAACTATCCCAGCAAGCAGGAGGAAAGTGCTGTGAACACACCTACTTCCCTCCAAGAAGTCCCGCAGCTGAAGTGTCTCCACACCAGCTCCCATGCAGGGTGTACGCTGCATAATTTCCTCCGAGGGCACTTCAGGAGCATAAGACAAGAAAACACCACCCTGTGTGCTCAGATGCATTGCTTTGTTCTAGCCACAGCACCTCCTGTTGGTCAGATTACAGGGAAGGTACTAGCCCAGTGTTACCTACAGACATGCAGCATCCACAACCAATGTATCCAGGAGCACATCCTGCAAATCAAATAAGATCCCACGCTGTGCAATAAATCACAGGCACCAACCCCTCCCCGCACCACAGTGCCCCATCCGTTTGAGTTTCACAACTAGGTACACACATCTCTCAGGGTTCAGCTTTCCTGTTAAAACAGGACAATAAGCCGCCATTTATTGCTATTTTTATACAAAGAAAAAACTGGTAAGTCTTTCAAACCTAAAATACAAGCAGGGCCCCCCTGCGCCATTCCTGCGGGGTGTATACCACACAGGGCCATCAGCAAGTGACGGGACAACCTGTGACGTCAGGGCTAGAACTCAGGTCCCAGCATCTGCAAACCCTCTAAGGGAGGCTGCCAGTGAAATGGATGCAGTAGGACATGAGCGGTTAATGTGAACGTAAAGCTTAACTACAACTGCTCGGAGCAGAGATCGTAGTATCTGGTCTGTGTTTTGCTTAAGGCTGGGTGAGGTTACTCAACGCAGTATGAAAAACAGAGTGAAGGCTTCTC